ATCTTGGTAGACATTTGAAGAAGCCGATTGGAAAAAAGATGGGAAAATTGATTTGGAAGAATGGGAGAATTTTGTGACAAAACTCTTTTTTCATAAATGATCACATTTGTTTTCTAAAGTGAAGTCTCTTTTATTTTTCAGGGACATACCAAGAAATTTTCCAAGCTTTATCAAATAAAAAAGAAGAAGATTAGTTATCGATGAATTAAGTAAATAGGATTGAACGTTTCTTCTAAAAGTGGGTAAGAGGAATGTAATAATATTTTCGATCATTCGACAAAAACTTCTTTCTCGTTTGTCCATTCGATCTATTGTGATCTTCTCTGGTATGCCCAAAGAGTTTCATCAACACTCCGAAAACCGACATCATTTCTTTTACCATCAAATGTCATATTGTGTTTCATATTATTTCTCGACTAACATAATCACTGTACCCACAAAACCGGTTCCCCATCCAATCATGTTCATACGCTTTTTAAAAAAATGAATGTTAGAGTTGTTCAAACCAAAAAACTATTTTAAAATTAATGTGATTGTTTGCTGAATAATTAGAAACAAATTAAGAAAACATGAATTTCATATAAGACAGCGCTTTCGAACCGTTGAAAGAAACCTCAAATAAGGGTTGGAGTCATAGTCTTCCAGAGATCATCATATATAACCAAATTCTTGTGACATGAGGCAATGAAAGATGGATACATTCAATGAAAGTTGGACTACATAAACAAGTAAAGTGAAAGAAAGAAAAAAAAACAAGCATCCTAAAAGCTTTTATGAGTGAAGTTTTCAGGCACTAGAATGCAGCGAACATCTAGTCGAAAGAAGAGTTTGCAGCCACCTTCCGTACACTTGTACTTGAAACCACTTGATTTGCGAGAACAAGCTGAACATTTACTGAAAAGGTAATTGTTTGAAGGAGAAGGGTCTAGGACAAGTGGATGAATATGCAACGCATGGTCTAATTTTCGAGGAAGATTGGCACATACCTCGTGGAGAAAGAAATCACATTGCACACGATTGTAGAAATCATGAAATCCAATAGGAAGGACGCACACCTCACATTGTTTCTCAAAGTCTCGAACACTATTGTATATCTCTAGCTTTTGATGATGCTCATGAGAGAAATACTCTATCAAATCACAACCCACCTTCTTGAATGGCGAAATATCTTCAAGTTGATCGGATTCCCATTCGAGTATGATCTACAATGGTCTTTATGATTCAATGGGTTGAACCACTAGTAACCATCCTCCACCCGGGTGGTGTGGCCACACCAAAGAGGATGATTCAAGTTGGATGTACAAACTAAGACACACGAAAAGTGGATTGCGAAATCCGAGTTTCCGTATAAAAAATTCGGGCAATATGTGACTTTTTTAGGTATTTGAATATGTTTGAATTGATCCAGGGTCAAACAATTAATATTATTCATTTACTCGCATAGGTAAAATTAATTGGATTTTCTTACACGGAATGATTAAAGCAAACAAAACTAATACGAATTGGAATGGAACTATATATAAAAACAACTAAATTGGATTTGATCATAAACGAAAAGGACTCGATAAACATAATCGGAAAGGAAGTTGATAAGATCCGCTCTATCAATTAATTAAGCGAGTAGCTTGAAATTAAGTCTAGAGTGAGCATTATCCCACCAAAATGCAATAGTATCGCCTGCCTTGAACTTTTTTCGTTGGAGAATCATACTCCATCCATGGAAATTGAAATTTCCATTGTTGTCTTTTCTTATG